CCACACACACACACACACACACACACACACACAGCCACGCACGCACAGACACACACACACACACACACACACAGCCACACACACAGCCACACTATCCAGTTTTTATATTTTCCTTCAACAACACTTCCTGTTCTGCCTTATATTGTCTTATACATGATCTCTAAGGCTATCCATTCATTTGGTAAATGATGAATGTCTGTCTGATTAAAAGTGTCTTTACAAAAAGTGTCGTCATATTGTTATTATCAGTATTTCTCTCTGGGGGGTTGAAACACTTCACACCAGTATAAAGAATGAGTGCAGAAGGAATGAAGAAGGACGAGTAGTTCTATGAAGAAAGTCAGGGAAAGAGAAGGAGATGGCGTAAAGGTTGGGATGAAGGAGGGCGTTCTGTTCCTGTGTGAGTCTGTATGTGTCTGAGATGTTAAAGAAAGAAGGAAGGCAGAACAAAAGAAAAAAGGGAACATTCAGGTTCTTATCAAGGGGTTGGAAGAATAAAGGAATAAAATGATTAAGAAAGAAACTAATTCAATCTTAAATTGAAATGAAAATTTAAGGAAAAATTCAAATTCAAAGAATAAATTGAAAGTTGAAACGAAGGTTGCAGACTAGAAGGACAAAGAAAGGAGTCATGAAAAGATACATATTGTTAGAAAAAGGAAATGAAAGGGTGAAATACGGGAAAGGAGGAAGGAGTGAGGCCTCCTGTCGGCCTCACTCTGCTCAGAGGAGCAGCTGCAGGAAGTCACAGAGCAATGCTCACCTGCCACTGACATGCCTGATTGAACACCTGATGTGTAACGGACAAACACAGCACAAGGTGTGTTCAAACTGTGTAACCAAAGTGAAACATGTCCGAGCGCCGCTCCGTTGTGGGCACAGTGTAACATGATCCGCTGAGTAACATGAAGCTGGCTTACACACTTTTAAACATTCTGCAGCAGTATTCAAACACGGGACGCACTTTAAACCGTTTGCAATGCATATACCTGCTGACGGTATCTGTTCAATGTAAACATTACACTTAGAAGTAAGACGTATGGTGCATTAGGCTCCAATAATTCCCTTTGGGCCTCAATCCACTGAGAATTAAAGTGCCGCTGCTGTGGGAATGGAAATATGTGTTTGGATGTGTACGCATGCAGGAAAGAAGCACATTAAAGCTCAGCTACAGCCCGTTTATCTTTATGAGGAAATATTAGATTGTGTGTGTGTGTGTGTGTGTGTGTGTGTGTGTGTGTGTGTGTGTGTGTGTGTGTGTGTGTGTGTGTGTGTGTGTGTGTGTGTGTGCGTGCGTGCGTGTGTTCAGACTTGTGGCCAGTCAGACAATGTGCTGCTCTGCAGGCCACACGCCAGTCAGCCTAAGAGGCTGAATAGCCTAATAAACACCAGATGTTCCGCGGGTAATATATACACAGACCCTGTGCCGTGTCCATCTCCCCAGCAGGAATAACACATCCACAGCAGCACAGAGGGAAAGGATGCCGCTACGCCCTGAAACATCTATTTGATACATTAAGAGCTGGTAGGACAAACGATGCTGCTGCTGTAGAGAGTGATCATACATCTACTGTGTGGGTGTGAGAAAGTGTGTACTAACAAATACAAGTCTTTGAAACGCTCTTCCATGTGCACCACTGCCTGCAATCAAGAGATAAACAGACAATTGAAATGTCTTTTTAAAAAAGCGCTTGCAGCCTCGCTGGCCATTGCATTTCCCCTTGCTGCCTTATCTGTGACAGACTCCTAGAAAGTGATATGGCCTTGCCGGGCCTCTGGATTCCGTTCCCCCGCACACTTACGTTTATCTGGAGGCTGGAGCCTCTGTGAAATGGCAAACGGTGCCAGAGATATCAGTCAACAAGTTGTTCCTGCACACTGGCATGGCTCACTGCTGTCACGTTTGCAAAGACGACACAGTGTTTAAAGTATAAGAAATGTATACAATCTAGGTTTATGATGTAAAAGAACATCAGTTTCTTATGAATATTTTACATTTTGATTTTCTAAAGGGCATTAAAAACCTTTCTATGTGCAACATTTTTACCATGAAGTGTGTTTGCAACATAACAGTGCTGCCATAGCATAAAAAACATGAGGCCGTTTATCATAGCAATCATAGAATTGAGGTCAGCTCAATGTCCCCACCATGTCTCATGTGACATATGGAGGACATAGCATGCATCTCCTTAGTGTTTGGCCTCTCTGCAGCACACAGGGGCCGGTTCAACCTTTCTATCTCTGTCGAGGAGGCAGAAATTAGATGAATGGGAAAGGCTCGTGATTTTTGGTTTTCTGATTCAACAATATCAGTATTTCAGTGATGACAGGCGGAGATTCTTACTGCTGATTGGCTTTGAATATCTCGCTCGACAATTTCAACTCAAGCAAATTTCGCGTCTTTGAATTGACTTGAGGTCAGCAAAAAAAAAGTGTGTGTGTGTGTGTGTGTGTGTGTGTGTGTGTGTGTGTGTGTGTGGTGTGTGTGTGTTGTGTGTTGTTGTGTGCTGGTAATCGTCCCTCGAGACATGAAGGGGATTAGTGATTGTACACATCGAGCAGTGGTTCATATTAAAGT